CGCAATAAAAAGAGTGTGTATAAACACTTCAACATTTCAAAGAGAAAGACTAAAATCCTTTACTTTTTGTTGCAGTATTTGTTTTTCTAAACTCACAAATTGAAAAAAACAAAAAAAAATTAATGAATTTACCAAAAAATTCATCCCTCAAAATTAATTAGGTTCCAAAGTTGTTTATTAATTTGAAATATTAAAAAAAATAATAGAAATGCCAGCTTTCAATGCATATTCTATACAAACCCACCAGGTAAGCAAGATCAGCGAAACATTTTAGCGCAATTTGACGTCATTTTAACTGTGACGTTATTGTGTTCAATTGTGACGGCAGTCAAGGGTATTGTGACGTGCCTGAGTCGACGCTGCGTTAAAACGTATGCGCAGACCAAGTAGATCGGGCCTCGTTAATTTTCGACTTCAACAACATCAGCTTAAGCTTAAGTTACAGTACCGACCAGACCCAACCTGACACCCAAGCAGTCCCAGAAAGCAGTCCCCGGGACTGCTTTGGGACCGCTCTGGGACTGCTATGGGACTGCTCTGGGACTGCTCTAAAAAGCAGACCCAGCAGTCCCAGCTGTCCCTGGGACTGCTTTCTGGGACTGCTTTGTTCACTCATGTGTGAAAAAAGGTTCTGAGTGACATGATAGCTCCGCCCCCTTGTGTATTCTGAATTTGCAGGCCCCCTGTTGTTTTGTTTACTTGCAGCAGAGATGAGTTTAATCTGTTTAAAAAGCAAGGATTTCTTACAATCTTTTAATAAGTAGAGACTATTATAGTTAATTAATATTTACCTAGACTGTATATTTACAAATGTGGTTTAGAATAATTTTGTTAAAAAATAAAGTTGTAAAATAAGGAATTTAGGAGAATATTAATTTTTTTTCTCCTAAATATAAGATATAAGATAAGGTTTAGGAGAAAAAATATCAACATGTAGGCCTTTTTATTACGGGGGGTATTTAATGTAAAATTAGATACTAAAAATTTGAATTGCTACTATTTAAAAATAATTATTACACTTAAATAAAAGATTTTTAATTGAAAAAGGAACATGTTTTTAACCCTCAAATAGAAAACCTCACAATTTATTAAATGACCATAAAATAAAATTAATGCTACCATTCTTCCGTAACATAAACAATGTGGGTAATCACTGGGGAAATTATTTATGAATTACTGGTAGTTTTTAATTTATAAACAAGTTATTAAAAGAGTACATTAATTTTAAAAATAAACAGTTGAAAATACTGGGAATTGTGATTTATTTCTTTTTTGTTTTGCTTCTGTTTACCTGGCCGATTAATGTATATAAAAATGGTATCAACACTAGCGGTTTTAATCGCCTTTGGGCAGAAAATCAATTCATGTTATTTGTGTATACATATCAGCGTTTCACATCATTGAACATGCTGGTCAACAATGACCCTAATTTCAATCTATGTAAAGCAAAAATAAAATTGAGAAATGAAATGTGTATGAATTTCTTTCAGGATTAATTAATTTTGAACATAATCTGAGGGTTCCATTCTGGTGATTTACAGATATACACTCTAACATTTACAAATAATAAAGCACTTAACTCTTAAAGCACAGTATTATAGAGATAGAGAAATTTAAAATAATTAAATTGACATGAAAGTAAAAATAATCATGACTGAAAAATAATACTGGGCAAAATTAACAAAGATTTTTTTTAAAAGCCCCAATACTTAAGAAAATTTATTAGAGTATCCCGATAGTATGGAAATTGGCCATATAACGATAAGATCTATTTAAAGCTTGTTCTGGTGGAAAATAAATAATTCACGTTTAATTTTCTGTAGGAAAAATTAATATGGGAAACAGTATCAATCAAAGAAAATAAAGAAATGGAATTATTTATATACCAGATAATTTTGATTAATTTTAATTAATAGATAATAAATTTTAATTTTAATGAATTTTAATTTGGGACTGCTCTGGTGTAATATTCATGTTCAGTTTAATTTTATACATGTAGGTGTGAAAGCCTTCTTCCTTTGATAAATATTATTCCAAATTGGTTCTCTGCGCGTACTGTTAATAAATGACCTTCGCATTCATGTAAGGATTCCTGGCATACTACCCAGAATCAATTTCAACTGCCTTTTTTAATCCCATTGTTTATTGGAAATCTCATTTCTGAGTTAGCTCCGCCCATTACATTAATAAACCCCGCCCTCTGGGACTGCTGGGACTGCTCTCTGGGACCGCTGGGACTGCTGGGACTGCTCTGGGACCGCTGTGGGACTGCTGTGGGACTGCTTTAGCAGTCCCAGAAAGCAGTCCCCGGGACTGCTCTGGGACTGCTTTGTGTCAGGTTGGGTCTGGTCGGTACTGTACCGTGTTTAGTTTTAATTTGCAATTAATTTAGGCAATGAAAAAAGACCAGAAATTAGTTTTGAAAATGGCCACTGTTTATCATCCTCACATTTTATTGCGTCATACAGTTAAATTTTCAAACCTTTGTTGGTTTGACGTGGAAGTCCGTATGGATTTTACCGCTTCATCCTTTATTACATGGCTATATAGACAAAGTTTCTTAGCTGCTGTATTCATATTTTTGTTCTTAAAGTATAAATTTACAAAATGCTATTTCAACCATGCTAGAATCAGTGAACTTGATTCGAATATTTTAATCTCTGATGACAAACTTTGGGCACTGAGTCGCCAATTCTCGGGCCTTTCTGTCTAACGGAGAAACAATCTGGAATGTGTTAGATGTAACCCCCCCCCCCAAAAAAAAAAAAATTAAAAAATTGAAATAAATGCTAGGGAACACTTGCTTATCTGAAGGGAATGGAGCTCAGTCGGAAAGGCAAAAGAAGCGATTGTTTTCAGAGCCTATGTACGTCCACTGATTTGTTGATGAACATTTTTGACAGCTCACGAATAAATGAAACCATTCATAAACAATCAAAATTAAATTAGTATATATAATTTTTTGAAAAAATTACTAGTAAACCGTTAAATTGACATTTTTTTTCAAGACAGTTTTAGGCGTGTCTATTTTTTTAAAATATGTATTACGCAAATAGATTTTTGTTTTGCTTTATCGTACAATTTTTTTCATCGGCAAACGTGCAGACTAGACGTCACGTCTTTGAAGCGCTATTGTGACGTAATTAAGTTTATGTCACGAAGGTCCCTTTTCGCTTGACTGAACTCATATATCCTGTCTTACATATGAGATATACAGATTGGACCTATAAATAAGATTACCTGTATTGTCTTTAAGGCATCTAAAAAGGCCCATGGGTAACAAAGCTCACCTTAGTAACAAGATTTTCTTCCATGAAATACCTATTGTACCCATACCCTCCGGGGTCATAATTTAAAAAATTAGAATTAAAACTACCCTATGATGCATCCTCAGACGTTTCAACTTTCTGACCCAGTGGTTTTCAAAGATTTTTAATGTCCCACCCTATTTTTTCTCTTTTCTTGAGAACTGTAAAATCACACTTCCGTAGCATTAAATTTTAGTGGATTGAGAAAAAAAAGTATGGGTCTAGGGATTTGATTTCCAGGATAATAAAGAATAATCATTATACCTCGGAAATAACGAAAATCTAATCTATACGAAAATTATTGATTTCACAGTATCTATCCTGTAAGGGAGGTAGGTCCTTTATTTTAACAATTTTAAATTCCTTTCTTCCAAGGATGCTCTGTAGCAACATTGGTTGATATACTGAAAGGAAAAAGAAACGCATAATAAACTTTTGAATAAAATTAAAACTTTTATTTCCAATATGTTTTCCAGTATTGTTATCAAACATTTTAATTCAACTTTAAACAGCAAGTAACCGAAATCTTGTGTGAATCTGACTGAATTCCTGAGTTATTGAAATTGATATATATATATATATACATGATATACCAGTACATAACAAACACATTACGTGAAATGACTTTTCTTCACAAAAGCATCATTTGATAAATGCGAAAAATTGCACTAAAATTAATTAAGTCGGAGCCTTTAGGCTATTCCTACTTTTTAAAGTACTACAGTAAATTATAGATTACTATAGTTAAATATTTTTTGAACCGTTATGCAAAAATTCCTCTCAAGAACCATAGTACCAGAAAAGATACAACTTTTGTAAAAGCTTTCTGAATATTATTATACATGTATGTAAAAAAAAAAGACAAGTTAGTAAGACTGCAAAATGTGTTTAGTACGAACATGAATATACAGTTTTATTGACATACGGAAGAATTTTGATATACACGATGAAGTTTTGAAATAGTCGAGGCTCTCGCGACATTCCACCCACTTCATCTCTATATCGTCTATGAAACGCAACCAGCTATGGGGCCTAAATGGTGCTTGAAGTAACAAGTTGCGCTCCAATTTACAGACCTACTTAGAGTGTGACATTATTCCGAAAGGCTTTCATATAAATGTTACACCTAACATAGGGCCAATCTCCAAACGCTTTCAGGAACGCTGGGACGTTATTACAAGGAGATGTTCTAAACAATTGATGTCACTCTGTCTTTCTTGGGATATCCACAAGTTAGGACAATTGAAGAGTGAGATCAAGTCCTTAGAATCATCCCTCAACGATATCATGTCCCAGGCCGATCTTGATGAAGCCCATAATATTATAGACACCTATAATATGGCCCTGACAAATAAAGTCAACAAGACTCAAAAAAGAAATTTCTCCGCGACAGTGTTCCACAGTCTAGGAACAACTGGTCAGAGGTCAGAGTTAACAAAACACGCAAACCCCGCTCGAGACGCTTCAAACGCATTAAGGCAATCGTGAGGGACGACCCATACAAACTCCTGACGTCTGCCCAGTGCTCAATACATCTAGTGCTCCTCTCTCCGAATCGGAGACCTCACTTCTTTCCAAGGGGCTAAATTTCTGCCCCACGCCACATGAGGTCGACGAAAAACAAGTCAGGAAGAGGACACCCGAGCATTCTTCCGGAGACTACGTTTGAAGGAGCACTTCTCTAGAAAGACTCCGAAGTAAATTCATACGACTCTTCCAAGCCAGATTTACACGATCTAGAGGAACACAAACTCTATAAGCCCAAGAGTGACTGGGAACCTGCACCGGGCAAGTGCGGCGCGCTTGAGTCGTATATTGACGCCGTTGAGTCAGACATAGAGAAGCTCCTTTCAATGCCAGACAAGACTCCCGACAATTTGAGTAAGGAAGAGAGATCTGCCTTACAATCATTAAAGAATCGGGATGACATTGTAATCAAGAAAGCAGACAAAGGCTCTACAGTTGTAGTAATGGATAAAGAGACTTACATGGCGGAAGCCCAAAGACAACTCTCTCAGACGAACGTTTCTATAAGAAACTGGACTCTGACCCTACTAAAGAATTCTCCACCGCCATTACCAAAACTCTTGACGATATGTTTGAGAAAAATGAGATTGGTATCAACGTCTATGAGACCTTAAATCCTATTGACTGTAGACCAGGACAATTTTATCTGCTTCCTAAAATACACAAAGAAGGCATGCCAGGTCGCCCCATAGTCAGCGCAATTGGACACCCCACAAAATTTCTGAATTCATTGATTTACATCTCCGTCCACACGTAGAGAATTTGCCATCCTATCTCAAGGACACCACGGACTACATTAACAAGACGCCCTCTACTGGCCTCCCAAATCATACCCTCCTCGTGACTATGGACGTCACATCTTTGTACACCAATATTCCACACGATGAGGGTATCGAAGCCTGTAGAGAAGTCTGGGATAGTAGGTCCATACAAATTCCTTCTACAGAGTCCCTTGCTAAGCTCCTTGAACATGTTCTCAAGTTCAACAACTTCATGTTTAATGGAGAACATTACCTGCAGGTTAATGGCACTGCTATGGGTACGAAAATGGCACCGTCTTATGCTAATGTCTTCATGGGCAGACTGGAACGCAACTTGTTACTTCAAGCACCATTTAGGCCCCATAGCTGGTTGCGTTTCATAGACGATATAGAGATGAAGTGGGTGGAATGTCGCAGAGCCTCGAGGCATTCATTACGTTTGCCAACACCTTTCATCAATCGATCAAATTTACAGTAGACGTATCTAATTCGAAAAACGTATTCCTAGATACTACATCTACCCTGATTGATGGTGAAATCGAATTCAGTCTCCACACCAAACCCACAGACTCCCACCTATATCTTATGCCCTCTAGCTGTCATCCCCCACACACTTTTAAGGGAGTGCCTAAGGGTCTAGCCACCAGAATTCGACGCATCTGTTCGTCCCCTGCCTTATATCAGGAGCAAAGTGGTCTTCTTAAGTCCCACTTATGCAAAAGAGGCTACAATGCCCGCACCGTACAAACAGCTATTGATGAGATGGCGGGACATGACAGGCAAAACCTATTACGCTACAAGGAGAAAGACAATAGCGGCAGGGTCCCTCTGGTAACCACATACCATCCCGTCCTTAAGAACCTTAGCGGTATCCTTCAAAAGAACCTACCAATTCTCCATTCAAACAAACGAATGGCAGAGGTCTTTAAGGAACCCCCATTGGCTGCATACAGACGCCCAAGGAACCTAAAGGACATGGTAGTAAGAACCAGACTGGACAACCCATTACCTAACGGGGGCTTTAAAACTTGCTCTGACAGAAGATGTCTTCTTTGCAAGCACAGCACTGACACAGACAGTTTTAACAGCCCTGTTACAGGCCGCAGCTACAAAATACTAGGGAATTTGTCCTGTCATACTGATAACTGCATTTATCTCATCAGTTGCAAAGTTTGCTCCAAACAGTATATTGGTGAAACAGGAGATCTCCCGCAGGAGAGTCAATAACCACCGTTCGACCATTAGGACCAAAAACTCAATGAACCCGTTGGGGAACATTTCAACCTTGAGGGTCACAAATGGGAGGACATGACAGTAGTGGTGATTGACCATAACCCAAGATGGACAGATGCTCAGAGAAAAAGCAAAGAAAAGTTCTGGATGCACAGATTGAAGTCATTCCGCCCTAATGGTATTAACAAACTGAATGACTTCACCAGAATGAACGTAAACTAGACCCAATTCCTGATGATACTAAACAAGATTATTCTCTCAATTTAGTGTAAACTCTACAGTTAATTTGCGTCACCAACTCTCGAACAACTCTCATAACTATGTATTGCTTACACCTTTGTTAATTATTTTTTCCCGGTAATAAGTCCTTAAATATTTCAAAATTTATAATTGATCATAATTCATATGTTTAAATATCCCTGCTATATTATTTTTCTTCGATTATTCTTTATTAAGTAAAGTTACGCCATTTTGAGAGAATGAAACAATGTACGATTTACTGATTGTCGTAATTAATTAGCATAATTAAGTCGTTCAATTATGTAAATCGCACTCCGCCCGAGTATACCCGATAGACCGGACGCATTTAATAGCGGTCCGGATTTCTTTCTTTATTAGTGTTTTCAAAAATTTCCAATTCATCATGTAATTAAGTATGTAAATATCTAGTGTTTAGTAGTTTAGTAGTAGTGCTAGTTGTTTTTGTTTCTCTTTTTCCTTTGTTCTTATGACTTTTTAACTTTTTTCTTTGTCCTGAGGAAGGGACAGGGCGTCCCGAAAATTTGACAATTTCTATTGTTCGTGTCGTTGGTCATTTTTAGTGCTTTATATATATATATATATATATATATATATATATATATATATATATATATATATATATATATATATATATATATATACCTGCATATCATGTTTATATTAAGTAAAGAATGATCATTAGATCAGATTTTTTGTGACATGCTAAGATAATTTTCCTTTCGTTTAGATTTTAAGATACTGCACATTATCAAATATTCGCGACATCTTATTTTAGCGAGATAAGTATTTGAGATCGAAACATAATTTTCAAGAATGATGTATTTGCTTCTTATTCTATGCCAATTAAAATATAAAAATGAAAATGAAATTTTAGCAAGGAGACAGTCTCGATTTATTGCCTGAAAATAAAGTTCTCGTGAATAAAAAGTGATTAAGACAGTTTATCATTTATTGTATCATCAACTTATTGCCCATTTTAGAACTTTTGCTTCTACCATTGAGTAGGCTATCGGCTTAATCTAAAGTGATAGAGTTTTATTCTCTTTTGAGTAAAACCACAACAACAAAACAGAAGAATCCAATATCTGAATACAAGTGGACAAAGATTAGAAATCAATAATCTGATTTTCCTGATCAGAAGGACGAGGTTCTGATTTATGTTAAAGGCCTAGCAAGCACTCAGGGTCTTATAGGATGTAATGCAAGAAAGACAACTCTTATTTACGTCTTGTGTCACTAGAGTGGGAACTGGCATCACACGCTTACAACAATATTCTGTCAGTCACAGTCTCGACCTAAAAGAGAAATATGTTAAAGAAGTCTATGAAAAGAGATAGAACGTGACTTTCACAGGAAATTTTCTCCGTTACAACGGAAAAAAAACTTATATTTAATTCTTATATTATATACTATATTTATAACTTTCAGTTTGAAAGATTACCGTTTGTCATAAACTGATAACAAAAAGGCCTACTTTTGATTTTTCTGATTGCCACTTGATTGCCACATTCTGAGTTAAAATACGCAAATCAAGAAATCAATTCACTCCACGGATATAGAGGTGCGGTTTTCCTATAAAATACACTTAACTTCTATTAAAATATTCTAAATGAACAAAGAATTATGTCTTAACAAATCTCATTATCGATTTCTAAGCCATATATACTATGGACCCCTGCCACAGTGCCCAGGATTTGATCAGATGTGACATGTGTGAGACAGCTATAGTACAGACGTACTGTGATTTCTGTCATGTCAACCTGTAAACCCTGTATTGGAGAACATATTACTGATGACTACAGTATAGCAGACATCAAATTGTCCCATTCCAACAAAGAAAATCAACCTTGATTTATCCAAAGTGTGCAAAACATCCGACCAAAGCCTGTGAATTACAAAGCAAGGAATGTGACATTCCTATTTGTGCCTTATGCTCAGCATCAAAACAGCATGAAGGACATAAATTTTTAGTCCTTGAAGAAGTTTACAACTCAAAGAAAAATGAAATTGCAAAAGATACCGAGGAATTACAGGACATTATCTCCCCTACATATGAAGAAATCACAAATGATCTAGAAACACAGATAGCTAACTTGGATGGAGAATATGAGAAACTAACAACAGCAGTGACAGAACATGGAAAACAATGGCACAAAGAAATTGACAATGTCATAAATGCTATGAAACAAGAAATTGAAGATTTTAAAACAAAACACCCTGACATATTGAAGAAACATGCAGAAGAAATCAAACAATTACAATCTCTTCTTAAAGAAACTCTAGTCAACTTGAAGAAAATTGAAGAATCCAATGAAGTGTCTATGAGCATAAAATACAGCTCCAGAAACAAAGAATTCAGTAAGCTTCCTCCTAAAATTCAAGTATCACTGCCCATGTTTAATCCACAACCAGTAGATAGAGAACAGCTTTATAAATTAGTTGGAATTCTTTCACCTTTATCTACTACAAAAGATGAGCACGGCTACAAACTGCATACACCAGGGACATCAACCAGAAAGCTGCTGGAAGAATCAGAACTTATCACTTCTATAGATACTGGTTATAAAAAAATCTTTAGTGTTGTCTGTCTCAGTGAAGAAGAAATCTGGGCAAGTGGATTTAAAGTCAGTGATATGAAATGTTATTACATACAAGGTTTACTTATCAAAACAATCAAAACAAAAACAGGGGAATGGCCACGTGGCATAGCAGTAACAAGTGACGGGAGTCTAGTGTACTCTAATGGGAGAACAAAGACTGTTAATAAAGTGAAGAATGGACAGACAGAGGAGATGATCAGACTTCAGGGCTGGAAACCTCTCAATCTCTGTGTGACCTCCTCTGGTGATCTCCTGGTTACCATGTACAGTGATGATCAAACACAATCTAAAGGCTCCACAGAGAAACAAACAATCCGGGTTGATGAGGAGGGTAAACCTCTCTACTCAGGAAATCATTCCTGAGAGGTACCGGGATCGATATCCGGATTCTCCACCACTTATCATAACCAGGTCAACCTCATCCTGGACTCCGGCCTATATGAAGCTTTTTTGCTAAACCTCAACCATCAAAGTTTGAGGAGGCAGAGTCCCGAATGACGTTGGGCCGATTATAAGTTTGTTTATTTACACCCGGGATCTTGGCTATTTCTGTGAGAGGAGACGCCAAGTGAAATCATTCAAATAATCCTTGAGCTGGGTCGGACCGACTCAATTCAGTTTTTTTTTCTGTATTTTATTTTATCTTTAATATCCCGTTCCTTTTGACCAGAGAACCTTTCTGGACCAGAGCGGCTCACAGGCTCTAATTCTCAACCTGTATAAAATGAAACAGAGACAGACACAATCCAGCTCTTGTCTTTTATTAAATAAAAAATCAGATTACATGAAATAAATAATTTTATACACAATACTAAACCTTATAATAAAGATTACTGTGTTACAAAAAAAACCATTTAAATATGTAAATAAACTAAAGTAGATAAACTAAACCATCTGAAAACTTAATAATTTTACAGAAACGCACAAGTCTACAAAATAATCTTACCAGTGTATAAAATGAAACAGAGACAGACACAATCCAGCTCTTGTCTGGCGTATGTCCGTCATCCGCTCATTTTATACCAGATTAACCGTCCAGGTTTCAAAGCTCAATTCCCAGTAGTCAGCGTCTTTAATTAATCCTAACCAAATCCATCTTTTCACCAACAAATATATAACTACCTTCCCAATGATTTATTCCTTGGAATTATATGAGTAAAAAGTTAAACTTATAGTGGTCAGCATTTTTAATTACTTTTAACCAAATACATCTTCATAACCAAGAAAGAAACAGTTGCATTCCCATGATATATTTCGTGGGACCGTCCGTGATAAAAGTTTAATTTCTATTGGTAAGCATCTTTGATTACTTCCAACCACATACATATGCATCTTTAGATACACAAGTAAATT